TCAATTGCCCAGACACAGAGGTCTTTGAAGCCATAGAGAACACTGTAGAACTATAGGATGCAAGCTACCTGAGCCCCAAATTACTGTGTTGAGGAGAAAACCCTCTAACTAGGAAAGTTCATATTGGAGTGTTATGTGAAAAATACTCTTGTATTTTGTAGAGACACTGAAATATTAGTTTTTTAGGAATAGCAGCTAAATTACCCTAATTAATGCATCTGCTAATTTACAAACTAGATGATGCTTATGATTACCCTTTTTTATAAACAAGATATAAAATGTAGCTGTTAATTCAGTCATGATTACTTTGAAATTCAATGCTCCAGAGAAAAAAGTCCTGAGCCTATTATAAAACAAGCAGAAACCATTAAGCATAATTTAATATTCTTTTGATATGACAGACACCAGCTCCTAGTGAAGACAGTTTGGTCAATAGGTATAGCCCAGAGCACAGCTCTAGGAACTCCTGTTTTCAAATTTGTTAGCCCTTGATAGACAGTATATAGACATTTAATCACTTGACACTTATAAACATAATTAAAATCCCATCAGAGTGATATCTAAATATAGTTAATTTGATTGTGTATTAATGAAACAACTTATTATGTACTGATAGAGTACCTACTGTGTGCAAATCAGTGTTTGAATCTCTTCTCATTCATTTAACCATTTTAAGGAAAATATGACAAATAGCCATTATCTTTCCTTTCTCTATCTCTTTCTTCAAAAGTCACTTACTGGGCTGGGAGTTTAGCTCAGTGGTGCTGCTGCCTGCCTTGTAAATGCAAGGATCAGAGTTTGATCCCTGGTACAGAAAATAAAAACAAACAACCCCCCCCAAGAAAAATTCTTTATTGATCATTTTGCATAGGCCAAAAACAAGGCTAAGTCAGTACTGGGAAAAATGAAGTCCTCAGGTCATAATATTAGAGAACTATACAGCTAAAACATTTAAAAAATTTGATAACATACAAAAGAAGAGAATGGGGGTGCTTATAGGTCCATTTCATCTTTCCTTTCACATCGCATGGTCTACAGAGCTGTATCCTATTGAGACCTCATAGGCCTGGCTTTTTTTTTTTTAATCTCTAAAAGATAGTTTCTTATTTCCAGGCATTATTTACTGATGATGCGAAGTATTAGAGCTTGTTTGTATGTGAGGTCATGTATCTCCTCTTTTTTTCCCCTTTTGTGAAACCTGTTATGATAGACATTTTCATGACATACAGAACACCTTGTAAGGTTGGGCATAGAACCTCGTTCTGTCATTGTTCCCTGGATTCTATAACCCGTGACCAGGAATTATGCACCCTGGAGACATCTGTGCTATAGACATCTTTTGCTATAGAGTTGTACTTCTTAGCTGGTAGCTACTAGCCACATGTGGTTGCTTAGATTTAAATTTAAATTTAAGTATATAAAGTAAAACACATAGTTTCGCAGTTTCACTAGTCTGTGGGAGAAGTTTAAGCCTGGCTGGGCCAGGTGAGCTGCACTCCTCCTGAGCTAACTTGGAGACCTTGCTAAGGCTGAGCTAATTTGCTTAAGTGCATAGATGCTAGGTCCAACAGGTACACCTCCACCCCTAGTCCGTGACTCCTTTGCCCCGCCCAAGAAAAAAAAATCACTCCACCGTGTCTCCAATAAGATACTGCCAAATATTAAATGCTCCTCCCATGCTCCGCCCCCATGTTGTCCCTATATAAGCCTGTGCCTTTCTTGAATAAAGCGGAAGTGGTCCATACACCTCCCCAGAAGCTGGCTGGTGTTTCTTTGCCTAACACTCCCAGTTGGAGCTACCGGAGATTGTTCCCGAAGCAGGCTCGCGGGCGGGCTCGCATTTACTGGGTAAATATCGAAGCTACTGGGTAATCTCTTAAATCAAGAACGGCCAGTACAGGCCACCTTAGTAAAGGGTCCTCATGCCGTAAAGGCGTCCGAGGCGTTTCCAGCCCAAACTTAGGCGAGTGTAGGGACCCCTGAGTGCTTTAAAGATGGCAGACAAAAGCCTCTTTAAAAAGATGGCGTGGGCGGGCTGTCTCTTCCGCTTTCTTCTTCCCTAAAGGCGTCAGCCCCGCCCGCTGGTCTTTCACTTCCTGTCGTTGACAAGCCCCCCCCCAAACACCCACCTCACTGGAATAATGGTCATCCGGAAGAGCCCACCTTTTCCAGTCCAAGATTTCGGCCTCCACCTTGTTCACTGCCATCTTACCGATCCTGTGGATCTTCTTCGTCCTCTGACTCCGGACTCCGAGGGCCTGTGGAGGGCGGGCGGGGCTCAGCCGGGGCCTGGGGTGGCGGCAGGTGCAGGTGCAGCTGCTCCAGGTCCGAGGTGAGCGACGCCCCCAGCGGGCTAGCGCGCGCAGTGTGTGGGCGCAGAAAGGCCGCAGGGGTCGGTGGAGGCTGTGGGGGGAGGTCCAGGTCGCCCCGGGAAGCCTCGCTGTCCAGTTTCCGAAGGCCAGCCGGGGCGCTCCCAGCAGGCCTCCCAGGACCTACAGAACCTCGGCTCTTCCAGGATTTGAGATCCCAGGACCTGGAACGATGGCCTCGAGAGAGTCGCCTCGTCTGTGTTTATCACCCTGGTGCCCCCACACCGCAGTGTGGCTGTGACCGAAGAAGTGTGGTGGGTGTCTGGGGAGACTTGGCATGGCCATCCCTGGGAGCCCTCCCTCTGAAGGCCCCTGGGGCTGGCGCAGCCGGAGACCCTGGACCCTTCCTGGCAGAGCTGCAGCCGCAGTCCCCACTGCACCTCCACAGCTGTCTAGTGGAGGGTCCCTGCCACCTCCTCTGGCCCTGGACAGTGAGGACGCCCACCACCCGGAATCCCTAAACCGGTCCCAGTCACTATGCTAGTGGTCCTACTCTTTGCAGTCCTCATTGCGAATTCAACACAGGCTGGTCCTCCTCCCTTCCCAAATCCGCAAGTATGGGCTCTGGTACCTAACCCTCTATCTTTATCTTTGTTACCATAGGTTGGCCTATTATCTCCTTTCCCTTCAGCGCTTGTCTGCCTTCCCCTTTCATGTTCCTTTTCCTATATCCCACAGCTGTAGCAGGGTCAGCTACCCAGACCCTTTGGGAATGATTCTCAGTTTGTGGGCCTCAAGCCAACCTATATCATCCCAATTTTGCTTGACCCCTTGTATAAACCCTCTTATGTTTAATCATTCCTCTCTTTGGTATCTATATTTACCTAGAACACCTCCTGCTGTTTGGCTTTTAGTAAATCTTACAAAGATTGGCAGAATTCAGATCCACTCTTTAACCTTATGCTTCATCCTCACAGTAGACGTAATTTGGGAATCTCCGCCATGGCTGCCAACCAGTTGACAAAAATACCACACAGGCCTTTGGAGAAACTGCCCTACTGTTTCAAGATGTCTGTGTTGCCATTTTAAATTTACAAACCCAGCTAAATCTTTGGGAAAAAATTCATTTATTAGAGACTAAGATTCTAAGCCGTTGGCATGCAAATTTCACCCATATTTGTGTTACTCCTCATCATTGTCAACATTGTAAGGATTATAAAAATCTGTCAAATTATATATGAAAAACCTGGGATCCCACGTATGATCAACATTTACACACCTTGACTCATGTTATTGTTCAGTTACATGATACACAGGCTCTTGATGTTGTTACTCTTAATAATGTATGAGAGAGAATCTGGTCTGGCATTCAAGCTGGGTGGAAAAACCTAAGTTCCTGGGCTAAAGGATTGATATTGTCATCGCCCTCTATGTTGACCCTGCTTAAAATTATTTTGTTGCTCTTTACCTTAAAAATCATCTTCCTAGCCCATAAAAAGTATAAACAAACTCATAAAAATGTGGTTTTCTTAGCGAACGCTCTGGAGTCAAAGACAAAAGGAATTGGGAGAAGTTCAAGCCTGTCTAGGCCACGTGCACCGCACTCCTGTCTCCTGAGCTAACTCGCTTAAGTGCATAGTTGCTGGGTCCAACAGGCTACACCTCCACCCCTTGTCCGTGACTCCTTAATCTTGCCCAAGAAAAATCACTCCACTATGTCTCCAATAAGATAGCGCCAAATGTTAAATGCTCCTCCCCCATGGTTGTCCCTATATAAGCCTGTGCATTTCCTGAATAAAGCGGAAGTGTTCCATAAACCTCCCCAGAAGCTGTCTGGTGTTTCTGCGCCTTACACTCCCAGTCAGAGCTCCTGAACCTTGTTCTGCAAGCGGGCTTGTGGACAACTAGTCCATTTCAGCTGCTCAATAGCCATATGTTGCAAGTATATGGTTACTGTACTTGGTTCCACAAATATAGAACACTTACTTCATTGCAGAAGGCTTTGTTGGCTGGTGCTGTTCCAAGTCAGGGAGAATTTGTATAATATCTTTTTTTTTTTAGAAGGAAGATCAAGGAAGTCTTTGAATGATATTGTGGCTTCAGTATCTAGGTTACAATGTATTTTTCATGTGTTTCTTGTTAGAGTTTGTGAACCCTACAGCAGGGGTTGCCTCATGCATTTCTGTACCTGTAACATTGAATATGTAGTGGTAACTCAAGAGTGTCTGTTGAGAAAATGAAGAAAATCTAGTTATCAGCATCATATGGGGGAAGATTGGCACAGAGTTGGATGTTGGCAATGCTTTTATGTCCTTATCTATGTATGCTGAGGACTGGTCTTAGAGATGGAGGCAAAATAAATGGTTTTAGAGAACAGAGGAGAGACTAGAAACTAGACAGAGTTTGACATTGTCTGAAGTTACTTGACTGATAAGGTATCTGACAACCTAATCTGATAAATCATATTTTTTTTTTCTCTAATGTTGGGGATTAAACAAACAGCCTTGTGCTTGCTACCATAGGCAAGAGCTCCACCACAGAGCCACTAAGCCCTAAGTTATTCTAAATGACACCTGGGTAAACTATTTGAGGACCTGTGTTGAATTTTCACACAGTAGGAAATTGGTGGTTATTTGTTGAATGAAAAAATTTCATTAATATTATATTACTTGTTTATTTCCTATCTCACAGCCCTGCTATTTGCCAGTCAACTTCCCAAGAGAATGCAAACTCTGGTGAGTACCATTTTTTGTCCATTTTGCTCATTTCTGTGTCTTGGACACCTAGAATGGTGCCTAACACGTTGTAGCCCAGTTCACATTTCTGGAATAAACAAAAAAGTTCTTTAACATTATACCAAAGAACCAAATAAAGGTAGATATTTTAGACTGTCAAGGTGGCGAGAAAAAGTATTGTGGAGATGGAGAGACAAATAACCTTCTGAAAGGATCCACTGACTTTGTCTATGCACAGGGCTGGGCCAGCTCTCATAAATGATGTGCCTCTAGTTGAAATTTAAATCCCCATAGGACTCTAGGTGCATACAAGGCATAACACTAAATGGCTGATAACTTATGACATTTATTTCCCTACATGAAGAACCACAGGGCAGCATCTCTTGTCAGGAAGGAAACAGATTTGTCAGAAAGGAAACCAGACATCATATGCTTTTTGTATTTTTATGATTTATGTATTTATTGGATGCACCCACCTCTTAACAACCTCTGGGTACTTTTCTACATTTCATAGACAAAAGGCAGATACTGCCATTGTGGATTATGAGGTGGAGAGGTACCAAGAAAATAACATCTATAAATCCCAAAGCACATCATAAAATCATCAAGTGCTGCACAGAAGCTGTACTTAGGTGTGTATTACTTGGGGAAACCTAAATGGGAAATTCTGAAGACATGAGCTTTAGTCCTGGCCCTAGCACTTACTAGATTTTATAGCCTTGAGTGAGTTTCTTAATCTGTCTCTGGCTTATTTTATTCACCTCTAATATGGGAATAGTAGCAATAGTAATCATCTGGTTTACCTTGTGTCATTGGGAAATGAAATACTCATGGGTGCTTGTGAATCACGGAGACTCTCCAAATGCAATAGATTAAAATTAAACAAAACGTTAAACCACCAATTTGTATGACTTTGAATTTCCTTTTCTCTCTCTGTAACCTGGGGGGATCCCAGTGATGTTTTCTGTGACTCTGTGTTGCATTCTCCTCACATTTGATGTGTGATTCTTACTTTCATGGCTTTAGTCATGATTTCCCTTGTTTGGAGTTTCTTTTCCCAGTGTTTTCCAATTATTCTCAATTAAGATCTTCAAGGAATTTGAGTTTAGTCTTTGTATTCATACGTGAACTAACAGAGATAAAAGACAAATAGTCATACCGGTCACTATTAGAAAAATTTTTTTTTGGTACCGGGGATTGAACTTGGGTCCTTGCGCTTATAAGGCAGGCCACCGAACCGCTGAGCTAAATCCCCGGCCACTATTAGAAAATTCTTACTGCATGTCTGACATCATGATTTTGTGTATATTGGCTTAGAAAAAAAATCTAAGAACTAGTAATATTGTTCTCACTTTGTAAAAAAAGAAACTAATGTTTAGACAAGGCAAGTAACTTGACAAAAATAATGTAGATAAGTCAGAAATGTAGGTTAAAGCCCATTTTTTCTAATGTTTACTTTGAAGTCCCTATCTGCACAAAACAGAAATTACTCCTTGATGCTAGTGGAATTGGGTTTTGATGTGTCGAATAAGTGTGGTCTGAGGAGAAAGTACCAAATTCATTTCACATTTGTATTTGTTTTTCTATTCAGGTAAGTTTTCTCTTTGGACATTTATTTCAACCTTTAAAATATTTTTCATTTTACTAGTTCTGTTTGCTGTGCCTGATGATTACATGTATGGTGGGGAGTTGGTACATGTACATAATCTTTTTAGTCCCATTTCTCTACCTGGAAAAAAAGCAGTTTAATGGTGTTTGAGGTTGACTAGATAATATGAGGTATTCTTTATTTCTAATACTAATTCTCTCTTCTGAAATAGTAAAATTTATGCACTTCGTTCTTTTATTATGCCAGAATATTGCCAACATGACTATGAGAGTTTTAGTGGTATTGCATAAGCACTTGTATCTACAAGACTAACTTGTTCTGTTGTTTATAGGTAATTTTAAATAGTCTCCAACTGAATTTCTGCTTCTAATTTTGCTGTGTGTGCATAATCTACAACACATATAATCGTTCTTTTTTATATGAAACATCCCAGAAGAGTTTACTAGATTGTACTTCCTGTCTTTTAAGTCATGCTTTCATCTGCACCACTCATTGAAACTCTTTTTGAGGGCACAACAACCACCATTTTGATAAAATTCAGTGACTGATAATCGAGCCTCATCTTATTCTGACTACCACTTGTCACAACTGATCATCCTCCTTCTTGAAACCCTTCCTTCGCATGACTCGTGCTGTGCTCCAGTAGTCCTTGTGTCTCTTTTTCCTCATTTTGTATCCCTTGTTAATCTTTGTATCTGTATCTCTTGTCCTTTCTGCAGTCCTTTTTCCTTTTTTAATATTCATTTTTACTCCCTAGTAAACTGACCCATTCTTTCAACCATTGTCATTTGTATGTTTATGACTGACATATTTATATTTACAAACATATGATATCTCTCTTGGGTTCCAAATTTATAAGAGTGCCTTTTTCAAATGTCCACTTGGGCAACTAATGATCACTCTAAATTTAGATGGGCAGAGTTTTAATTTGAGAAGTTTTAAAAGCTGTATTGTCTGGGCTGAAGAACATGGAGTAGTTTGCTACCACTGTCTACAACATGCTTTTTTAGTATAGGTTGATATCTGGCTTTTCAGAAATGGCTTTGAGTAGATTCTCTAGGAGACTTCTTAATAGGACATGGAAGAGTAACTCAGATCAAGTCAACTTATTCTTGGACCAGATCTGGTGCATCCAAAGGCATCTAGATTTTCAAGTCCAACAAATATTCCACCCCCTCTGAATTCCAGGGTACCACTCTGTGTCTGAGGTCATTTGGGAATCTGGAATTGATGATCTAGTGTGTTTCAGAAACACCACATCCGGGATGAATCATTCTTCATTCCCTTTAACAGATCAGTTATCAGGGGAAGCTGATTGCTCCCTCATCCCTATCATACTTTGATTAATTTACATGTAAGTGATGAAAGTGATCTTTTTTCCTTCTCTCTTTAAATGGATAGTAAACCAGGGGGGTTTGGGGAGTTGTAAAGGTGAGTGCTGACTCCTTGGACACCCTCTTGGTTGCATTCTCAAATGGCTCCCTCAATTAGGGGGTAATATTTCATTGACCTGTGTGCGTGGATGGCTCCCCAGCCGGCAGTGTTTTCTAAATGGTCCTGAGGCAAGATCTTGGGCTTTGAAAACGTCCTTAATCACCTTTATGTCTGGGGCTACACTGGTACAGCCTGGATTGAAGCACGTATTTTTATGAAGAGGAGCAGCTGCAGTCTATGGCTAAAATGCTTTGACTTGGCTGTCTTCATTTGCCAAAAGCATAGGTATTCTGACACTCTCTGGGACTGGACTCATACCATGTTAGCTGCATATTGGATCTGACTGTTTAGATGCCTGGCTAGATTTTCTAAGAGTGAAAAAATGGGTGGATTGAAAATAATCACATTCCTTCTGTTTTCTTGAGTTTGCCTAGAAAGCTTAGATGTGTTAAAAAAAAATCCAATTATACTTTTTCAGAAGGTGCCATGTCAGTGAATGATCCAATTCAGTCTTAGCTTCAAGTGTGAAGGAATCAGTTTCTTTGATATTTATTTACATCAATAATACAAGTCTTATCACAGAAATCTAATGGAACGGGAGGGTATGCATTTCTCCGTTTGTCTCTGGGAACTGTGTATAATGGTGGAAATTTTCCTACTGACTGAAGAGTATATGATGTAGATAACCTTCTACTCTATCCAGTTAGTTGGCTTGATGTGAATCTATATAAAGTAATTGATTGGGCTTAGTGACAAAATGTTCTAAGCAGATAAACTCAATTATCCTTATATGGCTACAGTCTTTTCTCTGAATTAGTGGCTGGATAATTTGTGACAAATACAGTTTGGAAAGCACTTGTCCATTTGACCAATGTGGACGACTCTCAGTCTTCTTCTGAGGTAGGAACTACACGATATTTGTAAAAATAAAGTGGAAATACTTTATATAGACACCTTTCTGATAATGATGATACACTACATCTACCAACTCATTTAATCATCATCTCCCTAGAAGGTCGTTGTTATTAATATCCTCATGTAACAGATGAGAAAACCAAGGTATGGAAAGCCAAGTCAATTGCTCAAAGTCATACCACTATAAGAAGTAAATTTTAGATTTGAAAACAGACAACCTACTTTTGTAGAGTGTTTCTGGAATGGACTACTGACTTTGCAGTCATGCAGTTCTCATTTGAAGTTGAATCTTTGGGTCTTGGACAACAGTTGGCACTCTGTAGATGGGTTGGATAAATTCTAATTCTTGGGTAAGAATTCTTTAGAAGACATACATTTCCATATAAATGTCAGTTTTATTATTGTTGATGCTATTATTAAGAGTGATAACTTCCATATATTGGACTTTTTCTACAGCAAGATAGAACTTTGCATATGTTATTTCATTTCCTCATAACAATTCCATTTTGCAAATGGGAATACTGAGTCACTTAGAAGGTAATTTTTCACATTTTGTAGACATTCTGCTAGAAAATAGTAGAGCAGTAACTTGAATGGAAATCTGTTCTTATTCCATAGCCTACTACTTTGCTCACCAAAGCAAACAGTATCATTGCTAAGGGAGCTTCTCTGTCTTTTGTATATCAAAAGATACTCTTGGGGTTTTCTAAAGATTAAATAAAAACAGAACTACAGTAATGTTAATATTAAGCAAAAAAGAATTTAAGATACACTAAAATGACAAATATTTATTGGATAATATAAAAAGTATTGTTCTAAGTGGCCTCAGGCAGTGTTTCCCAACACATTATCTTCATCTTTTTTGTCATATCTAAAGTCCGTGTGAACTCCTACTTATATTTTTCTGTATTAATTCACGTAAAAAATTAAAGTTCTTAACATTTTATAGTCATGATAATTTGAAGATTTCTTTACACATATTTTAAGACACATTATTATGCTACTAAATACAAAGTGCTTTCTCTTTAGTAGATAGTAATGC